ATGGACCCTCTGGGTAACTCTAAATTCTACAACTCGGTTTGCGGCAGGACTTGGAGTTGGCCATCAAGAAGCCTGGGATCGAGCCAGAAAGCAAGGACCAGCTTCGCGTTGCAATGGTTTTGGGGTTCTCTTGTGGAGGAATATGCCTCCTTAGGGGTGGGGCGGATTAAGATTAGTGTGAAGGGTTTGGGGTTGGGGGTTTGAGGATTCTGGGGTTTAAAATGCAGGATTTAGGAGTATAGATGGAGAGTCACCTGCAAGATGACCTGGAAGGCTGGGCTAATATAGCGGTTTTTCCTGGTTTGTATGGAGAGTACGGAGGAATGGGTCCCGAAAGCCCAACTAATGATCCATACATATCCCCATATGTCATTCCTTCAAATCTTTCTGTACTGATCACCAGTAGGCTTTACTTCGCTGAGCTGAGCCTAAGAACCTTAAACCCTAAACCATAAGAACCATAACAACCCAAAAGACACTCAGCTTCATGGTCAGGGTCTGGAACTCAGGGTTTGGGATTTCGGGTTTAGGATTTCGAAGTGCCCTTACATAGAATATCCATGACACATCCAAAAGCTCAGTAAGTTTAGGATTTTCGGTGGATGCTGGCCAGGCTGCAGCTTTTGAAGTCGTCTGCAGCAAAGCCACTGATACCTCCGCGCTGAATTTTCTCAAGGCGCATGCGGCGGAACAGGGCTATTTGGACTCTTATTTTGCCTACTTCGGAACAGGATTGAGGGCTTTGGAGCTTTGAGTGCTGTGATTTGCGGCTTGAGGTGCCTATTACTGGAGTGCAGGGATTGGGGTTTAGGATTTAGGGATTTCTGGGTCTAGGGTTTAGGGAGAAGGGTTTAGGGATGAGGGGTTTACGGATTATGTTTTAGGGCTTAGGAGCTTGGACTGAACAACCTTCTGTACCTGCCCTTGTCCGACGAAATGCCTTGAACCATGTCTGCCAATCAATGACAGAGCGCATCAGAACAGGTGGTCTTTGTACTCCTTCCATGGATTATGAGAGCCCTTGATGTCCAACCCAAACTCAGAGTTTGCCTGCCAGGTATTGGTTGAAAACAAGCGGGCCCACCTGCTGCCCCGCATGATGGATATCTTTGAGGCTTGGGCTGAGGGTGGTAGCGTCGCAGCTGCCAATGGCATGAAGGTCAAGCAGCGGTCAGGTAGAGAATCTATGTTCTTGCTAGGCGTCTGACTGCAGTTCATGTGGGGGTTGTTATAGGAATATGTTCCTTCTGTGGGCCTCCCCTAGATAGCTGCCCTCATCTGGACAAACCAGCATGGTGTCAGCGGAGGGTCCCGGTCAAAAAAACCTCTGCCAGTCGGAGAAGAACTCGGTCCATTGCAAGGCGCGCTGCTTTGTAGGGCAGGCACTGTACGAGTATGAACTCATATATTCAGGAATGAGGCACGAAATGGGCGAGTTTACTTGTGCCACGGGGGCTTTCTGTGGCATGACAGCGCAGGCTTGTGCTGATACCGCTATGCTTCAATGTTTGCGTCCTGTCAATGAGTTGAAGACGCTTCAAATGAAAGGTTGCCTAAGTTTATCCCGGCTTTATTTAGGGTCGGGGCAGATGGGTTTCTCAACGCTGCTTGCGTAGTTGGGGATAGTTAAGCTGTGCAGCTTAGCTTTGACCTGCTTGAATGCATTCTTGTTGCGCCAGGTGTCTAGCCAAGTTGGAGGCCTTTTCAGGCCATCCCTGCAGCGCTCTAGCAAGACCAGTGTAGAAGCACGGGCTATCTGGCAAGTTTCATTCCGGCATGTTTTCTTATCGTAAAGGGGAGGCCTCTCACTCCTTTTGAAGACTGTGAGGTTTCCCAGGCTCAGTATTGCTGGCACTGGCGAGGAAGAGGGTAGCCCTGTAGAGCATTTAAATGTTGCATTTTTGTTCGCCATGTGCATGTCTTGGCATTTGGCGTCGCCGGCTCATGCTGTACCAGCCCGCACGGGGACTATGCATGGCACCTTCGCATGCTCATGGCGAGAGACTCGAACACAAAGCTACCTTGAGAATCTGCACTGACGGAAACAAACTTTGGCAGGATGAAGTCTGCCGGCATAGAAGCTGGCACCGCCTCGAGCAAAGCTCTCCAGGAGAGTTGAGCTCCTGCCAACCTTTGCAACTGTACTGGTAGGTCAGAACACCTTTTCTACTCTTAGGGTATACAAGTCTGCAAGATGGTAAGATGGATTGTCCGGAGCATAGTTCAACTACCGGCTTTGATGGTAGACGATTCCCTGGAGGAGTTGCGGCGGGCAATAAAGATGCCCGACTTGGAGCTGGAAAGCAAGGACCGCCATTGCTCCACGCGGTCGAGATAAATCTTGTGACCACAAGCAAAGCCCAAACATCAGTAAAGTTGCCGCAGACGTTCACGAGAGGTTGTCAGATTGGGCGCCGTTTGCTCCAACACTGGCACCGATGCTTCCGTACCGACTGTCCTCAAGGAGGCCTGACTCTCGGAGTCTGTTTGCATCAACAAGCGGTCTTGGTCAGAACTTCTGCCTCCAAGGCACATTGCACACTATGACCACAATCTTGGCAAAGCTACAGGTCATCATAATCAGCACACAACCCTAGAGCCCCCAATGCCAGTTCGACAAGCCCCAGAAGCCTGAACCCAACTCACCCTAAGGCCCTGAACCCTGCCTAAACCGAAAAGTATGTAAAATAATGGCCTTTGGGGCTGTTTTTATGGGTTTAGGGCCATTATTCTACATATTTTGGGTGGGTTTATGTTCAGCGCATGTTGCGACAGGAGGTCGAGCTGGCCATCAAGAAGCCTGGGATCGAGTCAGCAAGCAAGGACCGGTTTTCCTGCACATGGGCATTGTTTTTGGAGTTCAGGGTGTATGGATTTAGGAGTTTACGGTGCAGGGTTTGGGTTCATACAACGGAGACTCATGTGCAAGAAATGCAAGATGAAACGGAAACTGGGCTTATGTGCGGCATTACTTAGGCTGGTATAGACGACTGGATCTTCCTGTGAAAGCCCAACTTCATGATCCCTGTATTCCATTCCTTGGTTCTGTGGGAACCAGTAGACTTCGCATGAGAATTCAAAAAACTCCAAGGTCCAAGGTCTAGGGCGTAAGGGTGGGGAGAGAGAGAGAGAGATGTATATATATTTATATGTATATATATATATATGCAACCCCCCCCCTCCTAAAGATCTACCTTTTTAGTGCCCTTAACTCCCCCTTCATCTCAAGAATTTGCTCAAACACAGAGCCCCCTAACC